TCTTTCAGATCAGATCCAGAAGGGATAAAGGAGGCTTTTATATTTCTTGGACCTGTTTTGTCAGATCAGGTGTCTTGCTCCCTGTACATATTGTGGAGGGGCTACAGCTGGAGACAGCTGCGTAACAGGCAGCCCAGCTGCCCACAGGAGAGACATCTTCTCCACGTTGGTTTTGTGTATCTCAAAGTTGGAAGGGGTCCCTATTCCTCTCTCTTAATGGTCACAGCTGTCTTCACTTGGAGGCAGTGGTGGCTGCCCCCCTCAGCCACTCTGCAGGGTACTGGCCACCGTGAACACACGCTGAGCACCAAGCCTCTGCCTGCTGCTCCAGGTGCTGACATCTGGCATTACCTCCTACACATGATGGGAGTCAGTGACCTTCATTCAGTCCCTGATGTTCTGATCCAGGGTTGTTGGTCAGGTTCTGCTGGGGTTCCCTTTCCTGATGACAGCTAGTCGATCCCCCTGTACTGTATTTTCTAAAGTGTGAGACTTTAGAAAATGACTTTGCATAGCAAGTGGTAGCGGGTTTCTGTGCTTGACCGCTCAGGGATACGACTTCTCAACAGGATGAATACAGAACACTTTGGGCAAGCTTCTGCAGAAAAAAAAAAAAAAAAAAAAAAAAAAGAGCATGGTGAAGTTAAGTTCATGGTTATCCAAATGCAGCTGAGTGTCAGGATAGCGAGGTGGCAACATGTGGAAAGTGGAAATGCTGGAGAGCGTAGTAGGAACACGCTTTCAGTGGGGATCTTCATAACATTCTCTCCGAATGAGAAAGCACCTGATGGATGCAAATCAGGCAAAAACAGGCAAAAGCATACAGTAATTGAACGCTGTCACTAAGACAACTGTGTGTGTGTGTGTTTATGTGGACAGAGAGAGAGACAAACACACACAGAGACACACAGACACACCCAAACAACAACAAAAAACCCTCAATACATTTTTTTTAAAGTAGGGCTTTTTAGAGTTCTTCTTTCAACCCGATCAACAGAATAACACTGAGCAGAGAGTCATGGACTTTGTCCTGCCCCTTGTCTCCCTTAGGTTTAAGCTACTGAGCCAGGAGGAGGGTGAATACTTCAACGTGCCCGTGCCACCCGAGGGCAGCGAGGGCAACGAGGAGCTGCGGCAGAAGTTCGAGGTGAGCTTGCTTGCTTTCTGCGTCGGTGGGACTGATTGAGTCTCCTGCCATGCTGCTTTTCCTGCGTGTGGCATGGTTTCTACCAGGGCCTTTCATGACTCTCAGCCTTTACACTGCTCTTGCATGTCCTAGAAAACTCCCATTTATCCTTCACGACCCCAGTTAAGGGTCCCCCACCTTGTGAAGTCATTCCTGCCTCTTGTCCTCATTCAGATTTACATATTTCCTCAAAAGTGCTCATTCACTGCCTAGGTCATTTTGATGGTGACCTGGACTGGAATGGTAGAAATGGCAAGTGGAAGAAGTGGACTGTGGGCTGGCTGACTAGCTCGGCTGGTTAGAGTGCAGCGTTATAACACCAAGGTCAAGGGTTCAGATCCCCACACTGGCCAGCTGCCAAAAAAAAAAAAAAAAGAAGTGGACAGAGGAGTGATATGTTTTGGAGGCTGAGTCAACTAGGTTTGCTGACAGTTGGAGTCTGGATTTGGGTCTGTTGGTGGGATGGTGCTGCCCTGTTAATAAATGGAACTGATGTACTGGTGATTCCATGAAATTCCCCCTGGGTGGATCTCTCCAGAGAGTAATTCTACCAAACAGAGAGCCCCTGGGCTACACTGCTGGCTCCCCTCCTGCCTCAGAAAAACCCCTTCCCTTCTGTGGGGACAAATGAAGCCCATTTTCAGCTACGTGAGAGCAGCAGGTATAGAGGAAACATCCCAGTTTTACAAAGAAAATGTTTTGTGGAAGATGGGTTGAGTACTTACATTATATGTGTACTGAGTGATTTTAAAGTAGTTTCATGAGGGAAAATATTATTTTGTTCACAGAAACTGAATATACTGAGTCTGGTGGGAAATCACCAATTTTAGATAAGCAGTGATGACCTACTATCCCTGAAAGATGTATAAACTAGAATAGCTAGAATGAAGTGGGTTATTGTTATTGTTATTTATCAAATAATCACAAGAAAATTTTTTAAATTATGACCATGTAAAGTTCTGTGAAAGAGAGATCAGGCACTTTGAGAAGATTTAAGAG